TGATGACATTATGTTGGGAACTAATGAATAAGAAGTAGCAACTATTCTAGACTTACCAGTAAGACATTTGTGTCAGAAGGTGAAAAATAAATCCTACAAAAATTCAGGGGCTATCCTCAGTGAAAATTTCTAGGTATTCAGTGCTGTCAGGGATGTTGAGATACCCTTCTAAGGTGAAAATTAAGTTGTTGCATCTTACCCCTCCTATAACCAAAAACAAACAAACAAACAAAAAAGAGGCACAACACCTGTAGGGCTTTTTTGAATTTTGGAGGCAACAAAATCCCTCATTTGGGTGTGTTTGCTCTCACCTATTTACTGAGTAACTCAACAAGCCTCTAGTTTTGCATGAGGCCCAAACAAGAGAAGGCTCTTCAGCAGGTCCAGCCCACTGGGCAAGCTGCTGTACTCAAGCTGTACAATCCAGCAGATCTGATGGGGTGCGAAGTGTCAGTGGCAAATTTAGATGCTGTTTGAGGCCAATGGTAGGCCCCCAAAGGCAAATCACAGCATAGACCCATAGGATTTGAGAGCATACTGGCCTTGGCAGATAACCTCTTTTCTTTTGAGAAACAGAAGCTTGTTATCAGACCTTACTGCTCAATCATGGGTCACCTAGTTACCTGAGACCCGAACTGTCGCTCATGAATTGTGTGTTGTCTGACCACTAAGCCATAAAGTTAGGTGTGTACAGCAACACTCCAATGTGAAATGAAAGTGGTATATATTAGGCTCTTTATATTCATGGGTTTGGTTTTTGTGGATTCAATCAACTTTAAATAGAAAATATTTGGGGACAAAATTAGTTATAGATAGTTATATCTGTACTGAACACATGCAGACTTCTTCTTCTTGTCATTATTTTTAAACAATACAGTATAACAACATTTACATTGTATTAGGTATTATAAGTAATCTAGACATGACTTAAAGTATATGGGAGGATATGTATAAGATATGCACATTCGATACCATTTTATATGAGGGACTCGAGCATCTGTGGATTTCGGTACCTACAAGGTATCCTGGAACAAATTCTCTACAGATAACAAACATGCAGGATTAGGGCTGAGCAGGGCCTGAGGGCATAGGTAAGTTACAGAAAGAAGTGATTTCAACACCATTGGTTCCCACTTCTGCCACATTACCTTCTTACTCTCAGCCCACACATATGGCCTCATAGGGAGTTCCCAATAATCAACTGACTGAGAAAACTCAGGGCTGGTTTGTAGATGTTTCTGCACAATACTTAGTCACCAACCAAAAGTAGACAGCTACAGCTCTGAAGCCCCTTTCTGGAAGATACTTGAGGGAGAGCAGTGAAGGAAAACAGAACTTCAAGCAATGCACTTGATTGTCTATTTTGCTTAGAAGGATAAATTGTCAGATGTATGATTATATACCAACTCATGGCCTATGGCCAATGATCTGGCTGGGTGGTCAAGGACTTGGAAGGAACATGATTGGCAAATTGATGACAATGAAGTCTTGGGAATATACATATGGATAAACCTATCTAAATGGGTGAAAAATGTGAATATATTTGTATTCTATGTAAGTTCTAACCAAAGGGTGACCTTAGCAGAGAAAGATCTCAGTCACTGAGTGGAGAAAATGGCCCATGTTGTGGGTACCAATCAGTATCTTTCTTTGGCCACACCATTATCACCCATGAACAAAAAGGCCATGGTACCTAGGATGGAGGTTATGTATGCATGGGCTAGTAACATGAGAATGTACACCCCACAGGGGAGGAATCATGAAGATTTGCTTCACTCTTATGTCCCCAGAGCCCGACACAGTGCTGCTGCATAGGCATCCATTAAACACAATTGACCCTTGAACAACATGGGCATGAACTGTGAGGGTCTACTTAAACACAGATTTTCATCCACCTTTGCCATCCCAGAGACAGCATGACCAACCCCTCCTCTTCCTCCTTCTCTTTGGCCTACTCAATGTGGAGACAAGTGTAAAGGATGAATATTCCACTTAATGAATAAATATATTTTCTCTTCCTTATGATTATCTCAGTAACATTTTCATTTCTCTAGCTTATTCTAAGAATACAGTATCGGGTGTAACAAATATACAAACTATATTAATCAACTGTAAGGCTACTCATACTAGGCTATTAGTAGTTAAGCTTTGGGGAGGTTGAAATTATGTGTGGATTTTTATTTTTATTTTTTTTAGAGACAGAGTCTCACTTTATTGCCCTTAGTAGAGTGCCGTGGCAGTGTCACACAGCTCACAGCAACCTCCAACTCCTGGGCTTAGGTGATTCTCTTGCCTCAGCCTCCTAAGTAGCTGGGACTACAGGTATGTGTGGATTTTCAATGGCACAGGGTCTAGTACCTTTAACCCCTGTGTTGCTCAAGGGTCAGTTGTACTCGAAATGTGTAAGTAATGAAAGTTTTAAAATGTAGTACTAAGGAAAGAGCCCATGGAGCAGTTCTTAGTAATATTAGTAGTTGTACTTAACTTACTTAAAAATACAGATGATCACCAACATTTGTGAAATCTAGTGTTTACAATTAAGTGGCTTAGGACATATATGTACACAGAGGTTATGTACTGCATGATGTTTTTCCCAACGACAAACTGATAACAGTATATAATAATACTGTATTTGTACTGTACTTTTTCTGTTTAGATATAAAAATAACTTCCATCATGTTGTAATTGCCTAAAGTACTCACTATAGTCACATGATGTATAGGTTTGTGGCTTAGGATAGGCTGTACCATCTAGGTTTGTGTAAGAACACTTCATGATGTCCACAAAAGGATGTGGACATCACAATCCTTTTTGGGACAATAATGTGCCTAACACATTATTCAGAACATGTCCCATTATTATGTAAGACACAACTCTATATATTACATATAGTTACTAATATTCACTTTTTAAATCTCAGTTCCTTTGCTTTAGACTTTTATATCAAAAGGAAAGTGAACTTAGAAATCACACCCAATTCCAAATTTCACAGGCAAAACGCAAAAATGTGAACTATATGGAGGGCTATGAATGGAGGTTTCCTGATTACTGAGTCATTCTCCCTTTCAGTAAGATGTCCAAGTGTGATAGCTACTCTTCCACATCAGCAAAGCCCTCTCTCATTATATGCTGAAGCATTTCTATCCTAAATTTATTTATGTCCTTTGCAATTAAAGTAGGGTAACAAACTGTTTAGATGTTGGAACATAGGAAATGTTGGTAGTTAAGTGTGCTTCACACTGTATTTTTCAAGTCTATTGGCTTCTTTGGAAACTGCCTTAATCATGGGATTTAGAACTTTTCATATATTTAAAATAATTTTTTTTTTGAGATAGGATCTTGCTGTTGTAGAGCTAGAGTACAGTGGCATCATCATGGCTCACAGCAATCTTAAACTCCCAGGGTGAAGTGATCTTTCTATCTCAGCCTCCCTGGTAGCTGGCACTATGGCACATGCTACCATACCCTGCTATTTTTCCTATTTTTTGTAGAGATGGGTCTTGCTCAGGCTGGTCTTGAACTCCTGAGCTCACGTGGTCTTCCTGCCTCAGCCTCAGTGAGTGCTAGGATTATGTGAGTGCTAGGATGTGAGCCACCACATCCATCATGTTAAAAATTTCTTAAAGGCCTTTGAAAAATTACCACTATCTCTGTTTAAGTTTAGACATCTGAGGTGTGCTCTGTTTTGGCAGACTTGAAACTTTATTACTTAAATAAAAAGTCATCACACTTTTATTCAGTTCAGCACCTGGATGTTCCTTCTATCCTGGTTGTTCGAGGAATCTGGAAAGGAGCTAACCTGGTGCTGCAAGGCAAAATAAAAGAATCCTTTCTCAGAACATTTAGAAGACTAATTGTGGTAGACTGGATTTTTCTAGACATGGCCATGGACCAACACAAAGATTTTTCAGGACGTAAAGTTCCACTTGCCCCCTGACCTCTCATTCCCTTCACAAATGGATTACCCCTCGATTAAATATTTCATCATCTTATTCCTTGTATTTTTTTTATTTGATTCAGGGAACATGAGATTTTCAAATACAGTATTTACTACCTGTGAAACTATATGCTTAGCCTATTTTTTTCCCTTTCAGGTTTATTTTTAGTTCAGAAATAGGTAACCAAAGTCTAAAATTAGCCCTTTACTTGTGATCTCTCATCCATCTTCTACCAGAGGACTATTTTCAACCTAACTTCTTGTGGTCCTTGGACACACTTCACCAGCTATTAGCAAACAATTGAGATTTGCTAACTGCAACCATAAAATTTATTTTTGCTAACACTGGATAACAAGGCTTTCCTATAAGAGCTATGTGGAATGCATCAGAGTCTACACAGAACAAAAATAAAACAGCCTTAGCAATCAAATTGCATCTGGTCCTTCCTTAGACTGCAAAGTAGAGACAGGGTCTTCATCCATAATTCAGAAAGATTCTCTAGTAATTAGTGACCTGACTTTCATCATATAACTTGACCAACTTGACTCAAAGGAGAAGGATTTCCTTTTCTATCATGTAAACCCACTTCTAAATACGTTACATCAACTCAGTTTTCTAAGTGAGTGGTTTTTGTCTTTCTTAAAACAATTTATCTTTGTCCTTCCAGATCAATTGTCAGATTTTGCTAGTTGGGTCACACACAGCCAAGGCAGCTGACATAAAATTTGTATATTCATAAACTAGGAGAGCCAGAAGGTTACCCAGCATCTCTCTCCTAATTTACCATTGATACATTATTTAGGTCTTTAGATTCCAATTATGTATTTTCTGACTACACAAAAAGTTAGTCCATTAAAAACAGAAGGCCCACCTTTACATAATGAATTAAAATTTATTTTAAAAGGTAAAGTTTTATACAACTTTTTAAAAAGTGAAAATTCAAAAGTCTTTGAATTAAGCAATGAGTCTTTGATATCATAAACTGTTAATAATAGTAATTAAAATAGTGATAACATTTTACCCTTGTAAAAACGTCACAGAATTCAAATCACAACTTGCATCTTCAATGATTCAAGTGTTTTATATTATACAATAAGGGTTCAGCCAGTTCTAAGGTAAAATTCCCCAGACATGGTATCCTTAAGTCCTTCTTCCTCACCGGCCATCAGATGCTGGCTGCAACTCACACAGTGGGATAGCTGGCTGCTGAGGCAATTCCACAGTGGTTGTTTTTGTCTTTGGCTATTTTTATGCAGCCATCCAAGCCCCACTCTATACCCCAACTGAAAAAGAAGCAGGTTTTTTTGTTTTATACAAAGAATCAAGGAAATATTAGCTTCATTAATAATACCTAATCCATAGAATAGTGCCTGACACTTAGTAAGCACTGTTTAAGTGCTGTAACATCTGTTTATAAATGTATTGGTTCCTGTGGGTCCTTACTTTTTTTAAGATAGGAAACTAAGGCAGAACTGGGATTCGAACATAGCAGTCAGGCAGAACTGGGATTCTAACACAGTAGTCATTCTAACATGCTACCTCATCTCATCATGTCTCAATTAAAGAACTTAGGTTGTAAAAATTGATACAACCCTCAAAGCCTCTGAGAGCTGAAAAGTAAAAATCAATGGCAGGGCACTGAATGACAGGAGAAAGGATGCACACAGACAACTGGACTACTAGACAATATTTCAGACTTGAAAAAGAATCAGCACAGCAGGTATTCTGCTTGTTGAAAAACTGGGGACATAAAAAGGACATCGACTCTCAACCCTATAGGGCCACAGTTTTTCTGAACCCCTAGAGCCCAGGTGTGATTCAGAATTATAAAAATTTTCAGAGTTAGTAATAAAGTATTATAAATACATATTAGTAACCACAACAAGCTTGGTACAGAATCTTATAATCAAATGATGACACTTCTTGTTTTTTTTTTTTTTGGAGATCACTCCATTGGGTAGAGTGCCATGGCATCATAGTTCACAGCAACCTCACTCCAGGGCTTACGTGATCCTCTTGCTTCAGCCTCCTTAGCAGCTGCAGCTGGGACTACAGGCTCCTGCCACAATGCTCAGATTGTTTTTTTCATTTTTAGTAAAAATGGGGTCTCACTGCTCAGGCTGGTCTTGAACTCCTGAGCTTCAGTAATCCACCTGCCTCAGCCTCCCAGAATGTTAGGATTACAGGCGTGAGCCATAGCACTCAGCCCAAACAATGAAACTTCTGTGTTCACTTTAAGTAGAAGAAAGACTAGGATTTCAAATTGAGCTTTCATGAACTTGTATGCAACTACTGACTCCAAACAAGAATTCCCTTTTCAATTTAAAATTTATACCTGTTCTTGATGAACCAAAATTTATTGTCATCTGAATCTGTTCCTTCAAAGCCATAGCCAATCAACAGGACACCATGATCCAGGTTTTTGCTGCTACAGTTTGGTTCATAATAAATACCTGGGATAGTAAAATTAACACTGGGGTGAGAAGCTCCAAAGGACATGTAATAGTAGCCCACAGTAAAAAAAGCATCTCTAAATTCAGTGAAATGTCAAACAAATTTCAAATTAGGACTTAATAATATAGCTGATAAAGGAAAATGTCACCCTTAACAGAAACCAATACACTCACAACTAAGTTCAAGATATTTTCCAAAAAAAAAAAAAAAAAATCCAAAAAATTAAAACCTATTGTTTTCAAGGTCAAAGGAATTTAGGTACTTATCTCCTAGCCCAAATACCAATTTGCATAATCCCTTTCTACCAGTAGGCTGTCACTCTAAAATAGTATCAAAATAAACAAACTTGAAGGGAATTCTTTATAGTCCTAATTACAGTAGTAAATTTCTTTTTAAAGAGACAAGGTCTTGTTCTGTTGCTTGGGCTAGAGCTAGCATGAAGTGGCCCAATAATAGCTGACTCAAATTCCTGGCCTCAAGGCATCCTCCAGCCTTGGCCTCCCAAAGTGCTGAGATTATAGGCATAAGCCACCGTGCCAGCCATAAAAAACTTTTTTAAAAAAGGTCCCCAAATTAGAGAACAGTTATTTGGTAAATTAGTTTGTATCTATAGAGTTAATTACATGGCCATTTAAAAGTATTTATGAAGAGTTTGTAAACATGAGAAAATGCTTATTTTTGTCAAATGGAAATATTTTGTTACATGTGCAAACAGAAAAGCAGGAGTCTATACCAAAGACTTGTTCATGATAGTGTTTTCCAAATTCTCCTAAATTTCTGTAATAAAATTACAAACACCTACCTGATTTATAGAACTGGATGGATATATGGCTTGCATCTATGGCAATAGAGATGGGCCCTATAATAGCCACCGCCTTCATCAGAGCCTTCTCTTGAGTAGGGATGTTCACAAAACCAGTGTCATTAGCAACAGAATACTCAGGCTTGTATTTACATTTTTCATCCTTTTAAAATTAAATAAAAGTAAAATTAAATAAAATTTAAGGGGAAAAGATCTGATCACTACCATCTACCTCCCAGAGAACATGAGTTTTAGAACCAAAACACTTAGCAATTTGTAGCTTATGATTTCTAAGTCAACACTTTATAATCATTTCAGGAAGTAAAATGTCATTAGTTGACTCTAAACTGAAAAACTAGCTGAATTTCTTCAAGGAAACAGCCTGAGTTGACCTGTCTATAAGAAATTTTTCACAGTGGAGAAATTTCTACTCTATTTAAAATGGTTTGCTTATTCACCATGTTACATAGAAAAACAGCTCTATGTTAACCATCTAATAAGAAAACTGCTTTAAAAAATATTTTTCTTTTAGCAGGTCTGTTAACCCAGGATAAAATGTGAATTCTGAAAAAGGTGTCTTATGTGTCAAAATTTTCAGCTTTCCAAAACTAAAGCTGGAATGACAAGATAAAAAACTTCATTTACCCTTGCCACATATGGATAAGATACTTCAGAGTCCAGGCCTCCATTCTCCTTAACATAGTTAAAGGCAAAGTTCATCAGGCCACCACTGCAGCCATGATTGCCTTGACGCTGAGAGCAGTCCACCAGGTTCTGCTCACTCAGTGAGATAAGTTTACCAGTTTTCCGGAACATCTGTCCTTCAAGAGCACCAGTTGAACTAAAAGCCCAACAAGAACCACACTGACCCTGAAAAGGGAATAAAAATGTGTCAGTTTACAAGACAAATACAAAAACTGACAGTAGGCCATACATTTGTACACATCTAAGGGGAAAAAAAAAACCTTAGGAAACTGTATGTTACTCCACAGTCTACCAAAGCAATGAGACCATTTATTTCTTGGCTTTCCTGTGGGAGATGGAAGGTCTGAATCTGACACTGTCTTACCTGATTCTTCACAGGTGTCACATAGCCTTTTTTTCTCCAATCCACAGATTTGGGAGGCTTAAAAAACAGAGGTTCTCGGAACATTTTCCCCTTCTTGTGCTTCCTGTTTTGAAAGCCATTCATCACTTGTCTGAATTCTTCATTAGTCTTCAAGGAAAAGTAAATAAAATGTTGAAAAGCAATAAATCATTTTGGTAAAGAACTAAGGAGAAGAAGCATAGAGTTCAGCAATCCATGCCATACTCACCATGTCACCAAAGGCATTCATTGCCATGGTGAAGCCGTATTTCCCTTGACTGTATTCCCCATTGTGTAATTCAATCATTTTCATATTCTTCTCCCACACTGCCCTCCTCCATCCTTCTTCATCCTATGGGCAAACATATATAACCGATGGTCTTTATTTCTACCTAAAACTCAACCCATACTCACCAACTAGATTTGCAGACTGAGAGGGAAGAGAAACCATAGCCAAAGATGGCTTGATTCTTCTGGGACCTGTTCTCTAAGTTGAGACACAACAAGGATATATGTACTGGCTCATATTGGGTACCATTTGATTTCTGCATTAGGTTATTGATAAGAGCTGGCCCCAAACAGCTCTGGCTAAAACCTCCCAACAGCAAGGATCATTCTCTCTGGAGTCCCTCTGAACAGTTTCAGATGTTACTAACCACGCCATATAGTCTCCTGTACTTAGCCTTCCACTGGTACCACTGTGCATCTAAATTCTTGTCAAATTTAGGGATAGCAGAGGCTATTCCCAAGAAAAAGGCAGCCAAGAAGAGTGAAGGATTCATGTTTCAAAAACCTAAGAAGAGAAAAGAAATGAGTTTTTGATGAAGTTAATCCTTTTAAAAGGCCATCTTACTCTCTACTGAATGAAAGGTTACAGCCACCATGATGAAGTAGAAATATGTAAATTACCTTTCCAAGTATAAACACAAGGACTGTGCTAAGGATGCGGGTGGAGAAAGATAGGTCAGACCCTTAAAAAGAAAAAGTATGTCATTCAGCCACCAAATTAAAAAATAGCCTGACAAGTGCTATAGGAACAGACTTCATTGCAGTAGTGCAATAATAATTCAGGTTTTTGTAAGGGTTTCAAGGTATCTATGGGACAAACTCTTAGGGCAGCAACTAGGAAACATGGAACGACTGGTACAGATTATTTATGTACAAGTACCGAGGTCACTCAGGTAAAACCTTACTAATGGGGTCGTCTGATCCCAAGTAAAGGCAAAGGGACCCCCAAGAGTTGGAGGGCACCTCACACCTTCCTGACTAATGCATAGCAGGTGAGATATGTCTTCCCAACTTCCCCTATTTGAATGAAATCTTTCTGGAAGGCCTTCCCCGAAGAAACTGGGAAGGAGTGCATCTACCGCTCTCGCGGACCCACACTTGAACCTGTGTCGCCAACACTCCCACACGCTCCCGCACAGCGGAGACAAGGGTCAAATGGCTGCGTTGCTGGATGCCAGAGCACACACCAAGCAGCAGGCAACTCCTGGGGCTTCAGGCTAGCTGGCGGGCCCGGGGCGTGCCTCCTGCTCCCGCCATCGGTACACACCCACTACGGCCACGGGATGTTTGTAGTGGCCCGGGGAGCGCAGCGCTACGCGGACTAGCGTGCTGGGATCCAGCTGCTCTGTCCGAAAGATAGCGCGGGCCCAAAGGCGGTTGGAGGTGGCACAGCTGCTAATACTTGCTCCCTCTGAAGCCCGAAGGGTGACTGACCTACGCAACCTGGGATCCCGTGAGTGGTCTCAGTGCCTCCCTGGGGTCCACAACCGCCCTCCCCGTTTCCCCACCTCAAGGCTGGCAGAGCTCAGGGCAGAGCTCCCGGGGTTTGCTCCCACCTCCTCCACGTGTCTTTGGATGGGGTCCCCTCCTCCAGCCCCAGCTCCCGCAGCAGCTCCGAGTGGCTAGCGTCACTCACCTGCGGCACTGAGCTGTGCAGGTGCACTCCGAGAAGGCGACTCGGACGTTGCTGAAGCTCACGGTTCTGGCCCAGCTGCACTGGAGTCTGACTTTAAGGGCCCAGGCAGTCGGCCCGGCCCTCACAGTCTGTCCGCGCTGCGATTGGCTATACCGCCCCCTGGGCGGGCCTCCGGGCGCTCCGACTAGTCAAGTGACGCGATCCGGTCCTTACCTGTCCCAGGGCGGGGCGCACTTGCCTCAGTGGATCCCGGGGTAGGGTGTCGATTTTCAGTTTAGCCCTGCTTTTCATTTAGTACCGGAGTATTTGGTTTAAAATTTACTGTAGTGCCAAGTTGTTCCACTGCAAAGGTGGAATCAGGTGAAAGAATGAACACTCGGCAGAAGCATCGTTATCTCCCGGTTTTGGGGTGGGATGCATCTGAGTTCTAGAAGAATCTGGTAGGGAAAGAAATTTCCCAAACCCCTGATGCAGTGGGCAAGACCAAGCCGTAAAAGGGAAGGGGCTGACAGTGTGATTGTCCAAAGCCCTCCTGTCGTTTTATAATGAATCCTTTTCTGTTCAAGGATTCTCTCAAACCTTCCAGAAGTGAGTTATTTACAGAAAAATTTGGCGTAAAGCACTTGAGAAGGATGAAAACTACTTTAAACTTTCCTGCTCTCTGTATTTCGGATTGTGTCTTCTTCAGTATTCAAAGTGCTTCTCTTGAGATTTAATTTAGTAAATTTAATTTAATATAATATCAGGGCTGAGGTTATGTAATTTGAGCAACTGTTTTAGATGGAGAAAAAATATATATAAAGATATAAGGAGATTAATTAAAATCATTTCCATTTTCCTTTTATTTTAAAATATAACATATAAAATATTTAAACTTTTTATATGAGAAGCATATTAATTGTAGAAAATATATTGTTGATAAACAATGTCCCTTATCCTCTTCCCTATAACACTTTACTAGGCATACCTTGTTTCTTTCTACAAAAAATGGAGTTAGTTATATTGATTTGTAAACTCTTACTTAAAAATTAATTTGAATAAACGTGTACATTTTTTTCATCAATTTAAAAACAAAAAAATTAATCTGGTAATCTTTGGGAAGTACAATCAGAGACATGGTTTTTAAAAAGCAATTTATTAAAATTTTTATTTGAAGAATAGAAGTTCATCCCTCATACACAACTAGGGACAGAAGCTCTCACAAGATTACAAAAGTATATTGTATTACAAATAGCTGGAGTTTTAAAAAATTAATCATTGTGTTCAACACAGGCATTCATGCATGGAAGTAAATGAAGACCACTTCATGAAAACAAACAGAATCTCTATATACAAAAATTGTTATAACAAGGGAGACCATTCAAAGACAGGGGAAAGAAAAGTTTTAGTAGAAAAAAGGGAAAACTTTGGGTATGTCTTGATTGTAGGTTGTTGTCATGGAGAAGCTGGAGAAGAGATAGGTAGAAATGAAGAGTTTTATGTGATTGGTTTGGGGGGTGTATTTGGCATTCTCTGATTTGCTTTGGATTGGAAGTAGAGGCAAAAATAAGGAAGTTGTAGGCTGTTGAGTAAGTTCTGAGCTGGCCTCAAGATACGATGTTTCTTTTCTTCTGTGGGTCAGAGTTCTGTTGCCTTATAGTCTGGTCATTGTCCGTTTGTTTACTCCCTCTGTCACAAGAAGACTAAGTTATTCTAGCACGTGGGTTTTACAGTTGCTCTTGGGCCACAGCTCCCTAAGATTGCATAGAGTGGAAAAACCTGCCACTGCATTAAGATCGGCACTTTGAGCAAGAGCCTGCCAGCAGGCTGTATAGCAGATGCTGCTTTGAAGAATGGCATCCCTTTGTCTCTTGGGATGTGAGACAAATGCAGTGGAGAAAACATGGATCCTTGTCATACCACGTGTGCTCCAAATCTAAAATTAAACCAAAAAATAACTGAATACAAGAGAAGTATGGGAGAAAGCCATTAAGCAAGCAAGTGGGAGATATTATTGCCATAATTTGTCACATCTGTTATCCCTATTATACGTAATCTCTTAAATAATGGATTATAGAAATGCGGTATTACTAGCCTTTTGGTTCCTTTTCCTATTTTTCTATTCCCATTTCCTTATAAAATAATTTTGATGAGTGATAATTTTTTAAATGGCTACTTGGGAGCCTAAGGCAGGAGGATCACTTAAGCCTAGGAGTTTGAGGTTGGTGTGAGCTAAGCTGACACCACAGCACAGACTCTGTGAGACTGTCTCCAGAAAACAAAACAAAACAATAAATGGCCACATTTTAGTTAAGCATCCAAGCCTTTGATGATTCCTTTTCAAATGCAGCTTCTGTGAAAGTGTATTCTCATGTACGTTTGTGTAGATTTCTTTTGCACTATTAAAATGGTATAATTTTTTACCTAGTCCCGATAAGTTTTAAACTATAGGGGAACTGACAAACTTTATGTGGTAGACTTTAAGACCCTCACATCACTCAAAACCTCTCCTTAATATAAAAATTCTCTCCAATGTATTGAAATTCATCAAACCAATAATTACTCTTGAAAAACATTATCCAGACCAGCTGTGGTAACTCAGACCTATAATTCCAGCACTTTGGGAGGTCTAGGTAGGAGGACCACTTGAGGCCAGGAGTTGAAGACCAGCTTAGGAAATATAGTGAGACCTTATCTCTACAAAAAAGTGAAAAAAAAAATCAGCCAAGTGTGGTGGTGCATGCCTGTAGTCCCAGCTACTTAGGAGGCTGAAGCAGGAGGATGGCTTGAGCTTAGGAGTTTGAGATTGCAGTGAGCTATAATGACACAACTGTACTCTATCCTGAGGGACAGAGTGAGACCCTGTCTCAAAACAAAACTTTATTAAGCAAACTGGCCATTTGCAAATAGTTTGTAGCCATTGATAATCACGGAAGACAGTATGCTTATGATTCATTGTTCATAGGAATCCACTTTATGAAATAACTTACTTTTCTGAGTTGCTGAGTTACTATTACCTTCCTTTTCCTGTGGAATTAACCTGTCAGCCATCTCATCAAGTGAGATGTGAGACAAATGCAGTGGAGAAAACATGGATCCTTGGTAAATCAATCAACAGGAATTAAGCAAGCTCTCACTTTGTGCTTGTTGTCCTTTTCTAGTGTAGTTTGAGCATTTACTTTCACATTCTACATTTATTAATAACTTTCCTAACAGCTTTTTTGAGGTTCAACCTTTCCATTTTAAAATATGAGCTTAACTATATGAATTTTGATTTTATAAGCGACATAGAACAGGATACATATAGGAGAGCTGTCTAGAAAGTATCCAGCCATGTAATATGAAAAATAGAACATATATGGCTGGATACTTTCCAGGCAGCCCTCGCATTTAAATAAAATTATGGTGAAGCATTTTTGCGAAGTAGGTAGTAAGGGATACCAACCTTGTGGAATTTCTCCTTTCTAAGACAATAATCCACAAAGTTTTAGCTGGATGCTTGAAAGATCTCTTCCTCAAATCTGAAAAACAGTGTTTTCAAGAAACAAGGTGTATTTGTTTCCTGTGGCTGTTGTAATAAACTCCCACGAACTTGGTGGCTTAAAACAATAGGAATTTATCCTCTTGCAGTTGTGGAGGTCAGAAATCCTAAATCTGCATTAGTGGGTTGCAGAACAGGTTCTGATAGGGCTGTACTCCCTCTCTCTGGAGGTTGTAGTGGAGAATCTGTTTCTTGCTTCTTCTAGCTCTGGTGGCTATCTACATTCCTCGATGTGTGGCCACATCTCTCCATTCTCTGGTCACATTGGCATTTTCTCCTATTTGTCAACTTGCCCTCTACTTGCTCTTATAAGGACACTTGTGATTGTATTTAGGGCTTGTCTAGGTAATCTAGGATAATATCTCCATTCTAAGATCCTTAATTTAATCATATGTACAAAGTCTTTGCTGTATAAGTTAATAGTTACCCTTTCCAGGGATTAAGACCTGATATCTTTGGGGGGTATGATTGGCATAAGTAAAAACCAGTTTCTTGACAAGGATGATCAAAACTTTGTGTATTTCATGTTAGGCTGGCTCCACTAGGATAGCTCAGCCCTAAACTCCGTGGGGACTTCCCACAATGTAGCTGCTTTGCTCCACTCAGGCCCTCATTTCTGCCTCCTGTGCCTGACCACGGACAACATTTCCTGCCTCTCCTTTCCCTAGTGATGTTTAACAGTTTTTTGTTTCAAAACTCCTACATAGCAGTTCTTACCTACCTTCCCTTACTCGTTCCATGGCCAACTGTCCCACAATCTCTGCATATACAAGCATTGCTCACCCTCTCCTTTCCTGACACATTTCTGGTTTAGGCTTTGAGCATCTCCCTATTGCAATACACCCTATTAATAAAGTCCTCCCTAGACCTTAAGGTAAAGATTTGTATTTTTTTTTCTTGATACCCTGTATCATTATGATAAATGGTATGGACAGAGAAGATCTTTGTGGTATTAATACTCTCAGTTTGCATATGTACTTGCTGGGGTGGGGGGAGCAGTGGTTGCTACAGAAAAAAGGCTTTTCCATCTGTGCATACCTGGTACTCTTGGAAATTAAAGTATTTTTAGACAAGATCCTGGCCATGATGATGATGGTGATATAAGTACCTAAGTAACACCTGGGTGCCAAGTACTGTTTCAGCATTCTACAAATGTTCCTTATGTAATCTTTACAGCAACCCCATGACAGTGGCTCTCAAACTTTAGCCTCCCTCAGCATTGCCTGAGGGGTTCCTGAAAACTCAGGTTCCTAACCCCTAGTCCCTAAGTTTATGATTCACTAGATCTGGGATGAGATTCCAGAATTTGTTTTTCTAACAAGTTCCTAAGAAGTGTGATGCCACTGACTGGAGACCCTCTTTGAGCACCTCCAGCCTAGAAGATGGGTCCTCTTATAGAACCCTACTGTACAGCTGAAGGAGGTCACGGCAATAGGAATACAGAATCAAGGTTGGTAAAAGTCAGGTTCTCTTCTACAGTGAAGAAATAAGTGCATGCCAGGCCATCAGGGCTTAAGAAAGGAAGCCAGACTTTTGGACATTTGCCTTGTCCTCCTACCTCTGCACCACTTACTTGG